CATGTTGAAAGGTGCTGTTGCAAAGAGCGCAGCGATGATGTGTTGCTCTTTCAGCACCTCCCACTTGCAGCTTTAAGGTTTTGAACATGTACATCATTATATTTTATAAACACTTCATTTGGTGTTTTTCTGGCTGCAGCGGACGCCGCCGACCGGCCAGGCGATGGGGGAGCAGCGTCGCAAGTCATTAGACACATACCGGAATCTTGCTTTCCCGGGGAATGGGGAGAATGGTCTATTTGCGATGCAACATGCAGGGGGACCTATAACTACCCTCAGCGGCACAGAAAGCGGGTCCCCATAGCTGCTGAAGCTGTTGATAGTGACCCTGATTGCATTTTAGAGGAAAACGAGCCATGCGGAAATTCCGTGCCACCGTGCGTCGGCTACTGCTGGACAGCTGAGTGGACGGAGTGGAGTGGTTGCATAGCGGTGTTATCTGGAGAGGATATTTTGTTCGCGCGGAGGAGATATAAGCCAATTTATTCCGGATCTGAATACTGTGATGAGGACGCCATTCAAGAGTTTCAAACATGCTTAAGAGGTCAAGGAAGTATGTGTAGAGCCTGCATCCTTTTTTTTGTGCTGGCCCAGCTATTGAATACAACAATAGAGTTGCATCCCGCTCTCGTTTGACAGCCCGAGCCGACTACGTACTTTTTTAGAGACAACTCCACACCTCTGTCCTTTTTTTCACAGATATGGATGGGGAAACATCCAGTGAGGAAGAGGACTCGGAAAGCGGTGGATTCGCTGAAATGGCGGCGTCTGCATCTGGCTCTGCAGAAACGTCAGAGTGGTCCGGATGTGATGCTCCGTGAGTTTGTACATTGCTTGCATTCATTTGGGTGTATTGTCTCACTAGATGTTTATCAGTACTGTAGAGAATTTAAGGATGCAAGTAATATGCAGAAAACGTGTAGAAGGAGGGGGCGGAATGTTTCTTCTTTTCGGTATCTCTTTCATGTTTCTTTGACTCAGGTGCTTACCACCAGAGGGCAATTCGGTACATAGACGAAGGGTGCAAAAGAACAGCAGTACTGGAAAAGTTTCAGGTTCGAGTTTCGTTTTCCCGGTGCAGTATATTCGTCCCGTATATCTATGCGTGCATCTCATGCAGCTGCTCTTAGGAGAAAATGCTGTTGTTTTGACTGTTTGTATGTGTGTTTGTATGTGTATGTGCGTATGTATGTGTATGCGCGTATGCGTGTGTATCTGTATCTGTATGTGTGTGTGTGCTTGTGTGTGTGTGTGTGTGTGTGTGTGTGTGTGTGTGTCTATGTTTGCGTACGTGCGTATCAGCCCTCACTGGCTCTGACGCCTCAAAGGTGTGCACAGAAGCAGATGGACTGGAGGAGTGCAAAGACATGTTTATTGGCGTTGGTAAGACGATCGATATATCAGGATTTGCTAACTGTGAAGTGCAGGGGCACTGCCCGGCGGGTCAGCAGAATGTTTCATCTGTACTGTGTTTGACTGCTTTCCAGACTGCTCCGACGTTGTGCCGACCTACCGCGACGCAGCTTCATTACAGAATTGCGTTGATAAGTGTAGAAACGCAGAGGCGAAATGCAAGACCCAGTCTGCACAAGATGTTCTGAAGACGCCCTTCAAGCGCTGTCTCGTGAGCGCACTCTCAGATTCTGGTTTCTTCCTCACCTGCAGGTTCGCAGAGAAGCAGAGTATATGTAAGCCATATTTCATCAAAGCAGTGACACAATATTTCTAGCCCATAGATATTCAAATAAATAATACTTGCACAGTGTATCCCTTGTACCTGCATGCGTGAAGCACGCACTGCTGAGATACTTCTTAGGGAACCCTCCCCTGTTGCAAGTCCAGCAGCTGGGTGTGCACCGCATTTCTCCTTGGTGTTTTGATTTATTTTTTTCTTTTTCAGCTCAGCCAGTAACCTGTAGAATAACATTCACAAAGATTGTCGACCCAGAAGCGAGACTGCGTTTCATCACCGGCGGCT